GCCTCCATAGGTAGTGGATAGAGTAGAGCAAGGAGGCTAAGTGAGCAGAAGTGTGGTCTTAGTGGACTGGTCTGGCGATAATTTGCCTTTTGGGAATATACAGTGGTATTGCTGGAATTTGCCTGCACTGACTCATAAGAGTTGATGGCTAAATTATCAGGAATTTTGCAATAAAGTGTTAAATACAGCCATCATTAAAAATTAAATTATATATGAACTTATAATTAAATAAACACAAAGGTAATAAGTACTCATTACTTTTTAATTATTTGACTATTGTGTCTGTTCTTGTCCTGAGGTTATTTATGTCTAGTGTATCCATATGGTGAGCATACTCTATGATGGTGTTGTACCGTACATCTTTTTCCAACTCTCTGTTCAATATGTCACATTGGCAATCTGAAATTGGACATACTGGGAGTCAGGTACCATGGAATCATGCTACAAAACTTAGAAACACTACAAATCAAAGCTTATTTCCTAGACGTTTGGTTTTTAAACCATTCAGAACAAGTAATGCAGATCTATGTTTTCATGGAATGTTTCATCTGGGAAACAGGAATCTTGTTTTGTTTATCTGGCTACTTACAAATTTTATAAGTATTTCTTTGTTAAGGGTACCATACCCTTCTAGGCAGCCCTACTGGATAGAATTCCTGTTAAGAAACCTAAAATGGCTCCCTTCCTATGGTGTTATTTCTGGACAATGAGAAATTTATCTTGATTTGTCCTGCTTAGAAGTACGCATCATCGTTCCCATCAGAGTTCCCTTATTTACTCTCAGAGCAGAAAGCCTCCTATGGCTCCCAGATCCTCTCACCCCCCAACCTCAGGTACCAACTCTGTATCCTTAAACTCAAGGGAATATATTCTAAGGTCTTTGAATGCTCTTTTGAGGTATCCACCTTCCCCCTTCCTTAGCCTTAGAAATGGGAGAGCACAGTTCCCAAAACCCTATACAGATACTGATAGGGTAGTCGTATCACAAGATGACTCTTCCCAAAATCCATACTCTCTTAGATCTACAACCCCTCTCATGGATTCTTCATCTATTCATACAGCCTAGTTATGAATGTTATGCTAATGGTAAAACTAGATTGGAACACTTGTTTTGTCTCACATGGATAGTCTAATAACTCATCTTAGACCATGACTGCCTTTGCTACCTATGTTTTTGTATGCTTTGTGGCCCAAAGCAAAACACAACAGGAAGAGTCACAAATGACAACCTATTGCATATATCATGACCACAGTCTTTTTTTTTTCTTCAATTTTTCTCTTTTGGGACAAGAAGCAATCCAGGCTGTACTTGGACCACATGGGTAGAGAAAAGGGTCCAGGGACTATCAGTTGCAGGCTGGATTATTCTTTTAGTGACTACAAGCAGATAAAAGCTCAGGTGTTGATCCAATGAGAACAGAGCCAAGGTTGTACTGGACGATATCAGGAAAAGAGTGTATGGAGATGAGTGAACAAGTTAGAAGCTGAGGAGGCAAGAGCATGTTGGCAAATGGGAGTGGCTGAAAATGAGCTCCTCATTACTATACTTTAGTTTCCTGACATAAGCCACTCAGTTGGCAATGTGGCCTGGTCAGCTGCTTGAAGGCAAAAGGTAGATATGGACAGTGTTATTTTAAACTGCTGAAGAACCAATCAGATAGGCCTCACACTTTCTCTTCCAATTCCCTACCAATTATGATTCCAATAAAAGATCAAAAAGGAAGTGACACTCAAGCCAGAGTATTTTCAAAATAAGTATTGATCTGGTGTCCAGCATGATATAGAGAATGCTAAAGAAATGCATTTGGACTCAGCATTTTCTACCTTAGCAAATACCTGGCCTAATTAGATAATCAGTTATGTTTACAAAATGATTTCCTTGAGGGAAGGCCCTATGGGTGCTCCTACAATACCACCATACTGGTAGACATTGGGGGGATACTCAATAAAGTCTGGTTTCCTAGCTGTTTCTCTAGCTGGGGACATGGCTTAGTTACAGAGCATTTGCCTATAAGTGGTTCTCTAATGATAGAGAGGGTAAATCTATGATATATTGTAAATACACATGTAAATATCAAATGTATTCCCCTGTATAACTATTATATGCTAATAAAATAATGAATGGTTCTCTCTTACCCCAAAGCCCTTAGCCTCTCATCACATACAAACTAAAAGTGCAAACTCTCTTGCCTTGTTTCCAGAGCATGCTTCGATCTCCACAGAACTCACCTGAGCTGTCTCATTTACCATCGCTTCATTGCACATACTGTGCTCTGCCAAACCAGTTTTATAACTTGTCTTTGGACACACCTTTTTTTCTTGGTCATTCATTTTCACTCACTTAGGAAAAGCCCTTTTACTCCCCTTATTAAAATCTTACCCATCATTAAAATCAAGCTCAGGGCTGGGAATGTAGCTAGCTCAGTGGTAGAGTGCTAGTTTAGCATACCCTGGGTTTGAGGCCCCGGGTTTGATCCACAGCACCACAAAAAGAAGTTCCCATTCCACTTCTTTTCTGAAGTCTCCTCTATATATCTACAGGAAGAACTTGTGTCCTGAGAACTCTGGTTCATGTCCTCAAGCCATCGCAACGAATAGGTATCAATCTTGCACTGCTTAGAGATGCCTGTTGTATAGATGTTTGGAACTTGTACTCAAATCGCTGCTATCTTGCTCCTCTAACTTGCTCATAAATCCCATGAACTCTAGGGTCTGATTGCATATAATAACACTTAATACCTTAGATATCGCAGTACCTCCCAAGTTTATGACTTCTACTATAGCATGTGATTTACCCCATAAAATGCGGTAAGCTTCAAATTCAAAAGAAGTCTTTCATACTCAGCAAAAATATTTTGAAAATTGTCAATGTCAATCCATTTAATGAAGCTTGCAAGACTACAAAAACTGCTACCAATTGACAGAAATAGAGATTTGAGAAAGGAATTAGGTATTGCAAAAAGATCATGAGACAGCAGGATGTTCACATTCATTCAACAAATATTGATTATTAACTCTGTAACTAGGGAGACTGGTACTATTCTAGATACTATAACTATATATATATATATATATATATATATATATATTTATATACAGTGGGGAACAACACAAAAATCAGTGCTCTTGTGGAACTAGTATTTGCAAATGTACAGTTGGGATTTGATGGGAGGGGAAAGGTAAAGATACATGTTTCTAAGATTTATTCGTATGGAGATGAGAGTTGAAGTTGGCTGGGCACAGTGGCAAGGGTCTGTAGTTCCAGCTACTTGGGAGGTTAAAGCAGGACAATTACTTGAACATAGGAGTTCAAGACTGGCCATAGCCAGAGAGTGGACTGCTTTCCTAGCATGTACAAGGCCCTGAGTTTGATCCTTAGCTCTTAGGATTAAAAAAATAGAATTGATAATATCAGAACAGATGACAATTTTCCAAGACAAACTTTGAAGTAACTGAGGATTTAGCCTTGGTAAGGTATGTATGTGTTTTTCTTTGGGGGGGAGGGAATGAGAGGAATGCTGGAGATGATCCAGGATAGTGTACAATACAGAAGTAGTATGAAGTGGACTTTTATAAAGCACTCCACAGTGGAATTTCCTTAAGAGGGGGGGGGAATATTAATGGAAGGGTTAAACTAAAATATTTTTTTGTGTTTGTTTTTTGTCTATTAGTTATACATGAAGAAACTGAGGCACAATAGTGTTGATAATCCCTAAAATTACATAACAAATTGTGGTTAGATTAAGAATTAGAACCCACATTTCCTGACTCTTAGATCCTGAGAGATATTCATAATGCTATTATTTTTTCAGACTATACCACATATATGTAGTATAAAAATTCTTAACTATTTTGTGAGCCAAACATCCTAAAGAATATTAATGAAAGAAAAGAGTAAACTATCGCTGTAATAATTTGATTAATGTATACAACCAAATTCCCCTTATGTAATAATTTCAAGCAGATGGTAATAGTTTCTCTACTCAGCACTGTGGTTTCTTAACGATTTATTAGAGGGGTTTGATGCTGGTAGTTTACCAGAAATTGATTAGATCAACACAAAAATGTATATTCGTTTAGATTATTAGTCACTAGAATATGTATTCAATTTCTGTGGAACAAGAGAAAACTTAAACGGTAAGGGGATGCACTACATCATGACTAAGGAGGAAGAAAAGTTAATTTCCTTGTGTCATCTAACCAAGAGGCTAAAAATACACTGGCGGCAGTGAAGTTACAAAACTGTTAGGTCTTAGCTTTTGTTTTTCTAAATACAAACCAGGATATTGGCCAACACTTCTTTCTTATGGGACATTCAAGAAATTTAAGAATAAAAAACCCGTAACTTTAATAAGGCTAACAATTGTGGAGGTCTTACGATGTGCCATGAGTTATCTAAGCCCTTTGCATTTGTAATCCTAACATAAGCACACAAAACCCATACAGCAGGTACCACCGTTATCCTTTTTCAGCAGGTACCACCGTTATCCTTTTTCAGCAGGGGAAAGTGAGGGTCCTGTAACTCAAAGAACTAGGATCTAGTTTACATACAAAAGGTTCCAGGAATAAACGTATTCCCAAGCCACTTTGGTCTTTAGGAGAAAGGGATACTGAAAGTTCGTACCCCAACTTTGTAAGAAACGGAGCTGACACCATTAGCTCAAGGGCGGGGCTGCCTGGACGCGAGGCCATCCCCCGTCCTTTGCGCTTCTCCAGCCACCCACGCCCGCTTCGCTGTTCTCCTGTCTAATCTCTTCCCCTCCATTCCGTCACTGCCAAGTCACCTCACTAGGTGCCCAGCCCTGACAGTCCTCCACACGGCGCCACCGTCACCCTGGAGACATGCCCCTCCCCTCCGCTTCGCCGTCGCGCCGACGTGACGTAACCCGTGCGCCGCCGCCCTCTGGCCCGAGGGGGTGGGGCCGCAGAGCTGGCCCGACCCGGGGCAGGACCGATCGGGGGCGGGGCCGGGGCCGGTCGGGGGCGGGGCCGGGGCCGTGGCCAGGGACTGGGTCAGGACCGAACTCCGGGCCTCCCCGGCCATCGGCCATCGCTGCCTGCTCGGTCCCTTCCCCTTGCTCGCTCCCCGCCCTCCAGAGCCGAGTGGAGTGAGTGGCGTCGGCGGCCTCACCCTGAGGGGCACCGCGGCTTCAGAGGCTCTGCCTCCAGCGCGGCGCGATGTCGGGCGCCGTGACGGCTCTGTGAGTCCGAGGCCGCGGCCGTGGCGCGGGGCGGCGGCGGGGCCAGGCCGGGTCCGCTCATGGTGCCGCCACGACTCCATCGCGGGGCAGGGAGGCCAGGTAGGCAGGCAGGGAAGGGCCCCGAAATCACCTGGAGCCAAAGCGGAACCGAGTGCCCGGGAACAGCCGCACCTCCAGCCTTTGGTGGCCGCTGTCGTGCCCTGAGGAACGGTGGCGATCACCAGGGGCGGAGAACGGGGGGCTGACGGGGACGTCGGAGCCGGGTCCAGACTGGCAATTGAGGAAGCTGCTGGTGCGCGGACACCTCCAGGACTTGCCTTGCTCCCGGGGGAGGCGTCATCGGCTTTACTTTTTTTTTTTTTAACCCTCCTAAAAAGGAGGATTTCTTTTAACAGCTGTTTCCCACCCTTCTAGCGCAGTTTCCATCTAAAATAACTGAATGCAATGACAGGGGGAGGGGGGAGGCGGCATGCAATCCTTTCCTTGAGCACGGGAGGTGAGCGGAACAGTGCATGCAAGATCCACAGAAAATCACTTCCTCTGGAATATCCTAATTCCACTCGAGATGAGGGACAGGAAAAACGCTGTGAGAGACAGGCGCGTGTCTAGACACTGTCCCCAGGGTGGATTCCTCTGGAGGGAGAAGGAGAGAAGGCGTAGTTCTCAGAGGTGCCCTAGGTTGGATATTGCTTTCTTTACCCCGGTACCTTGTGCCTCTCAGCATAATCGGAAGTGTGCAAGGCATAGCATGAAAATCCCGAGCAAGTGGTCGATCATATTGAGCACACTTTGGTAGTTTTCTTTCGTTTGCTTTCCGTTGGAAAATAAAGAGAAAAAAAAGGCGCAATGAATCTTGAGCTGTTGGTATCTTCATAAACTTCATTTTGTGGTGATTTTTAGGTGCACTGCATTCGTCACTTTTTAGAGTGAGATCTGTGAAGATTTTAGGCATTGCTTTTGAAGATCTCAGAGAGGCCCTTAAAACGAGGTAAATTATACACTTTTGTGTACTGTGGTACTTTCATACTGAACATTAGCTCGCAAACGTCAGATGTCTTGTTATACTCTTCTTATTTTTATATGGTTACTTTTCTAAAAACGATCTCTAATGAGATCTGTATTTTCCTAAAAACTAGACTACAGATGGTGTGTGTATTTATCATGAGCCGAATGAATTCCCAGAACGGTGGATTCACTCAGCGCAGGCGAATGGCTCTTGGGATTGTGATCCTCCTGCTTGTTGATGTGATATGGGTGGCTTCCTCAGAGCTCACCTCGGTAGGTACCTTCTCTCCAGGAATAATGTTACTTTAAGAGTAACAGTATTCATTTCAACCTATAGTATTTTTTGGGATCACTATCCCATGCTTACTAAAAACAGTGCTTTATAATTATTTATGCTTTCTTTGATATTAGTGTCATTTCAAGCTAAAACTGAAAGGATGCCCTTCTTTGTATTTCCTACAGTTTTGTATCTTAAATGGAGGGTTACTTAGAAGGAGAATATTCATATTACTGTGTGATGGTGATTCTATTTTTTTCTTTCTAAGTTCAGTTTCTCTCTTAATAAATTTTACTTTTTAGTCAACAACCATTCACAAACAACCAGTCTTTTAGTATCCAGTAGAAAGAATACTTTTGAGCTAGAGTGTAGCTCAATGGTAGAGCACTTGCCTAGGATGCAGAGGCCTTGGATTAGATTCCCAGCACCACGCATGAATGCTGGGGGTAGGGGGAAAACACACACACAAATAATAATAATAATAATAAAAGTAAAATAGGGAATACTTTTGGACAAATGAATAAAAGCTATCAGTTTTCATGATCAGTCTTTGTTATCCACATGCATGGATACATCCACATATATGTTTGTAGATTCAAACATTCTGAAGTTCCCAGTAAACAATAATTGACTTCAGGTAAATTTTGTTTTGGTTGATGACTCATTGTTTTTGTTGATGGCATTTTGAGTTCACAAGCTAGTTTTTCTATTTGTGTAAGTAATTAGGTTTGGTTAATGATTCCTATTAAAGAGACTGCAAATTTTGCTTTCAGACTTAGCTACATTTCAACTCACATGCTGCAAAAGGAAACTAGCATTTAAAATGAACTTAAATGTCAAAAGAGTCAGTTTGATATCACAGATCTTCTCAATCATAGCTAAGTAAATATCTGACACTGACAGTATATCCCATGAGTAAATAATTTTTTAGCCTTTCTGGAATTAGGCTCTGGAATACAATAGGCCATTTGTTTTTCACTAAAGAACTTTTCTATAATCTTCTTTTAGATTAACATTCTTTACTTTTACCTCAGACAAATCTCCTTACTGCTGACAGGTAGGAAACCTAACTTTTTTTACAGTTTTAAATAAGCTACTTTATTTATAAAGTAATAAAATTTAGTACAAAAGAGCATCTGATTAAAATATAATTTAGCAATTCCTATCTAAAAGTTAAAAAACCCAACCAATTTGTGATATGATTTCATAATGTATACATGTGTGAAAGCACCATATTGTACACAGTAAATGCATTTAGTTTTTATTTCCAATAAAACAGAAGTTAGGTGTAAAGTCTTGATTTAGGTGAGTGTTTAAGAGAGAACACCCTGCTAGTACCAGGTGTTTACTATGACATCACGACACAAGGCACCCAATGCCCGCAAGTTTGTTTTGGGTGCTCTGAGTTTAGGCAGTATAAATTCCTCATCAGACTTTAAATAGTTGTTGAACATCCATATGAGTATTGCCCTCGTAGAGTATTCCATTAGTAGTTTCAAAATCGTGACTTTTCTAATGATCATCTATGTTTATTAGCTGGATTTTTTTTTTCTTTCTTTTTGGGTAGTACTGGGTTTGAATTCAGAGTTTTGTGCTTGCTAAGCAAGTGCTGTACCTCTTAAGCCACACCTCCAACCCTTAGCTGTTATTTTTTAAGGAGAATTTTTCCACAACTACTATTTGGTAATCCTGAAACACAGTTTATATACAAAAACTTGGATAAATCTTGATTTTTTTTTCTCCCCTTTGTTCACTTTAGAGTAGAATTACCTAGCAACTTCCAGTAGTAACTATTGAGGATTTTTAAAGCATTATTGTAAATTCATGGATTTTTATATATTCAATACATGTTTCAAACCATTATTTGATATTATCTTTTACAACATAAATTGCTCTATTTTGATCAGTGGGAGCCTATTCAAGTTGGCAGTGGGGTCCTTTTAATATGACCCCAGCTTTAAATGTCTTATTTGCTTTCTGGCACAAGATGCTCCAGCCTCATCCTGCATATTTCCTGCCCTATTTCTGGATTTGGCCATTGGTTTTAGGAACCTTCATTTCTCATTTTAGTGCAAAATGGTCAACTGCCATCTGGGCCCTTGAGTTGCTTATTCTTCCTGATTTATCTTTCCTTGGCCTTTTCAGTGTACATAATTAGTTTGTTTTCTAGGGGACAAAAATAATAGGTTTATATTGATATTTCCAATTTAAATGAAAATTATAGTTTTTTACATAACTTCCTAATATCATTAAACTTCATGCAATTTTTTTTGTATACCATTCTCCTCCATTGCTTTTCTTTATGCTATTTCCTATGTTTGCACAAAATCTTTGGACCTTCATATGCTACTAAGAATAGCCTGTCAAGAAACTTCCATATCCTTCCAACTGGTCTTTCTCTTTTTGGTGCTTCCATTCTACCCTGAACCCCCATAATGGTAGTTAGTGTATTTTGTAAGCTCCTCAAGGGCTCGTTTTTCTTTAGCCTCTAACACAGTTACTTTTGCATAGTAGGTTTCCAGTGGATGTTGAGCAAAACTTTTCTTGGAGATTGTTGCTTCTTTATATGGCAATATTATCTTTTATATGCAAGGCAAATACAGTATTCAGAAATTAAAATATTTTATAATCTGTTTTGACTTTTCCTATACAAATGAACTTCTAAAAAGTTAAAAGCATATAATGGTTTTATTTAAGATGAGTAGTGAGGTTTCATGTCAACTCATGTTTGTCTATTTAACCTTTTCCTCTACAGTATGTTTTCACTCAGTACAACAAACCATTCTTTAGCACCTTTGCAAAAACATCTATGTTTGTTCTGTACCTTTTGGGCTTTATTATCTGGAAGCCATGGAGGCAACAGTGTACAAGAGGATTTCGAGGAAAGCATGCTGCTTTTGTAAGTTTTTAATTTTGTCTGTTGGGGAAGGTATATTTATTCAAAGCTTAAAGATGTATTTCTTCAAGGACAGTCACACTTTCAGTTGTTCATACAAGTGGGTAATGGTAGAATATAAAAGAAAGCCTATTTTTGTCTGAAATTGAAAATATATTCTTCTATTCAACTTGCTGTCAGAATATCTTGTGAGGAAATAAAAGTGTATTTTCTTTCCCTTATCCCATGACTTGCTTTGAGTTGTTAAAAATTGTTAAAGTACCCTCAATCAAGTAATGTGGAAAGGATGAAGAAAGTAAGGAATAAGAATGGCTATGACTAGAGGTGTTGCTCAAGTGGTAGAGCCTGTTTTGCCAGCAAGAAGTCCTGAGTCCAAACCCTAGTCCTACCAAAAAAAAAAGCTGAAATTTAAGAATGCCTAGAGTCTTTGGTCATTTGCAGATTGGATGAGTATCATCTAATTAGTTATAAAGTCAGTTGTAGAAATAAAATAATTCAGTTTTATGTATTAAAATGAAAATGCCATATTTCAGGACATGCTTCGGGTATTTGGTTAATCAAATTATATTCTTTCATTGATGTAATATGACATGCTTATTCATAGAGTTGAAAGTAATGGTGGTTTATATAATTATGTATCTTTCTTATAAATACTTTGAATTTTTGAGAATGAAGCATATAAAACTATCCTTTATATTAATCCTTTTAAAAAATTCTTTTCCTCCTTCTCTCCTTGACTCCTACCCCAGGAAAATATACATAATGTCAAATTTACGATTTTAATCACTTTTAAATGAACAGCTGTTCATTAAGTGACATTTACTCTGCAGCTCACCACTATTCATGTCTAGAACTTTTTCTTTATCCTAAACAGAAACTCTGTACCCATTAAACATTTCCTACTCTGACCTTCCCTAGCCCTGATAACTACTCTTTATCTTTCTGTTTCTGTTAGTACTTTTCATTTGTGTGTGTTTAAAGTAGTATTTTATCTCTAATCTAAAGAGTATATTTATAATGAGGACATTGAGAAATATATTCGTTAGATTTTTTTCAGGAACTTTCATATACTGTGTATATGTAAATTTGACTTACCAAAAATTCACTCTACAATTTGAACCATGCCTCCAGCCCAAGTATGTTTTTAAAAGTCTGCTTATTCTGGGTTACTTTTTCATATATTTGTTGGGAAAATAGAATTTTTTTGTGCTATTTATGTCTTGCCCATTTTTCTCTTTTGATCCCATTTTAAAACAAATTGACTCAGAAAGATTCTTTAAGAGCATGGTCTCTTGTGTTATTTTTGACTCTTGTTCTTTACTTGTCAGTAGCGTGACCTTGGAAGTATTTAACCTCTTTGGACTTTCAGCAGGGACAGTTATAGGGAAGCTGTGATGAAATGAAATCCTACTTACAGCATTAGAATAGTGGTTCCCAAAGTGTGGTCCAGTTGCTAAGATCCATTCAGGGATTTTTCATGACAATTTTGAGATGTTACTACCCTTTTTCGCTAACCCACTCATCTTTCCCCTACTTATCTGAAATATTATATTAGTATTATGAAAAGGGCATAGGCTTGGCATGATTAATTTGGGTTTTAATCCTGGCTCTGCTATTTTGATGAAATCTCTTAGTCTCAATTTCTTCATCAATAAAGATAAGATGATGACACTTACCTTCCATGGTTGAATACTTGGCATTTGCTTCTAGTATTAATAATAATAAATATTAATTATTAATATTCTCAATTTTTGGCTGTATTCATTTGAGCTGTGTCTGACTAATACTACATTATAACATAAGCTTAATTGACTTTTATGTCCTGTTATTGGTATTTAGTTTACAGATGCTGAAGGTTACTTTGCTGCTTGCACAACAGATACAACTATGTACAGTTCTTTGGTAAGTACTTCTTTTCTCATTCAGCCATGGCAGGGAGAACTCAAACAGCTCTGATGGCACCATGACTATATTAGGTGACTCCCATAGGAATTATAATTTAGTGTTATCATTCCTTAAGGAGATCTGAGGCCTAGTGGCAAGCAATAAAGCTACCTCTGAGGAGAGAGGGGCAGGGAAAACTAGTTAAAGAGTAAAAATAATGAAGGATAATCCTTTGCTTTTTACCAGCTTTTCAGCTTTCCACCCATTATTATTTGCTTGACACTGAAATATATAAACAAATTGTTCATTCACTTATTCCACAAGTTTTTTACAGTACCTTACATGTGTGGAAGCACTTGGTTTAAGTTCGAGAAGTACAGCTTATGCTCTACTATATAACAATGTATGTTTTTGGAGAGGGAGAGGAGACATGTTTATCTGGCTTATTTTAAGTATTTATAATTTAATTAGAGAGAGTGAAAGTTCACTCTTTTAAACCATGACTAAAGCATCTTTTCAAAATGCATTTTTGGCAACACTTCTTTTCTTTCCAAATGTGGCGTTCTATCTGAGAAAAAAAATTAAAGTTACTCTAGGAATTTTAAAGTTATTATAATTGGTGTTAAAATGTAATACCAATTTGGGAACCACTATCTTGGTGACCTTATTGACAGTACAGTTCTTTTATTTGTTTGTTTTTTAAAACTCCCAGTGTATGCTGGGCAGGTTATTAGGTACTGTGAAGAGTTTATGAAGCTTAGAGAAAATGCCATGTCTTTTCTCTGGGATTTTTTGTCTTTTTTTAGACAGATTCTCACTGTTTAGCCCAGGTTGACCTCAAACTCAAGATCCTCTTCCCTCAGCCTCCTCAGTGCTGGGATTACAAGTGTGTGCTGTCATGCCTGTCTGGTCTTGACAAGATAGTTTAATATCAGTTGCTTCTCGAAGCATGGAAGGTATAGTTGAACAGTCAGAAAAGTAGGCTGCCATCTCTTCTAATAATTCTTGCTTTTCTCTGTAAAGTGTTAAATTGCTCTAGGCCAAAATGCTGTAATGAAAAGCTCAGTCTAACAAAATGACCACTTTAATTCCCAATTTCCACTGTCACTTCTACTAACTATTGTTCATTGTCAGAGTTCTATGCCAGGAATTAAAAGAGAAATCAAAGGATAAAAAGTCTGTTAATTTTTAAGAAACAGCCTAGTTGGGGAATTGTGCTTCATAGACCATCTGAAGAACATTTGCAAAAAAAACACAGAGGCATTTAGAATCACCTAAAAATTTAGACCTCTGGAACATGGTTAGAGAATGCTGAATTTAATGTTATTGTTTACTACTTGGTTATTTTATATCTCTGCTTCTAGAAAACTTTCTTTAAAATTCCTATTTTCTAAAGTTATTTTGAGGACTAGTGAGAAATCTATGTTTAACTATCCTGGATTTCAACCTGGTACGTAAGTACCAGGTAACAATGATTACTGTTACCTCTTACTCATGTAAAGGTTTTCAAGAAGTATTGGTTTTGTTGAAGCTTATGTAATAAGAAATTGGTAAATATAAACACACACTATATATTTGATTATCTGATCATTGTCCACTTTCCCCAGTAGACTGCATGATCATTAAGGAAAAGACTTTGTGCTTATTCATTCATGTCCCCAGGACTTAGAACAGTGCCTGGCTAGTAGAAGGTCAATATATTTGTTTTACTTTTTATGTTTTGAGACAAGGTTTTGCTATGTTGTCCAGGCTGGCCTGAACTCCTGGGCTCAAATGGTCCTCCCACATTATCTGTAGTAACTGGACTACCGGTGTATGCCACCATACCTAACACTCAATGTGTACCTTTTAAAAGAATGAATGAAAAGAGACAGAAGATAATCTGTTAGCTAAGAGAAAAGCTTGTTTTATGACATTTTAATATTAGTTGTTATATATGCCAAAGCTGTTAAATTATGTTTTTAAACTTTAAAGTGAGTCACAATTTCCTATCATTGTACCTGCATGGATCATTTGAGTTTCCTGTTTAAGTCTTTCACTTGTGTTTTGGGAAAGTTATGCTATATAGATATGCTGTTGCATAGCTGTGTTTTAAGGGTATTTGTGTCTACATACCATTCCTTTAAGTTTTAGCTAATATATCATTGATTTGTGCTGTTATATTTGTTTCTGTTGCCTTTCAGAGTGAACCTCTTTATGTTCCTGTGAAATTTCATGATATTCCAAGTGAAAAACCTGAGGACACAAACATCAATACTGAAAAAAGTAAGTAAATCTTAGAATTAGACAACTGTGAGAAGTAAATGGAAATTTTAGCTTCATTCCATGCTGCCCCCTCACCCCCCAACTTAGTGATTCTGTGAGTTGAATGGAATCATGCAGTGGTTCTTCTGTTCCATGTGGGTTGGCTCAGCTTCCAGTCCTCTGGAAGTTTGACTGAATTGTGAATCTGGTACAGTATAGTTTTGGTATTCAATCAGAAATAATATCCAGATACCAGAAATTGTTATGGTTTCATCAGTTTTTTTTTTAATGAACAATATTCTCTCAAACATGTCCTCAAAAACCTTAAAAACAAATTATAGGAGTTTTACTTGTTCTGTGAATTTATTAAAGAATGTCAATTTCAATGTAAAGCATAGTACTTACCCATAATTTCCCTTGCAAAGTATGACCCTTTAGAGGAATGTTCTGAATGCTTGTCTAGGAAAATAATTCTTATCAGTTCATTGTCCATGAGTAATCCAAATAAAGTTTTACTATGATTGCTAAAATAAAAATCATAGTAAAATCCTATGTGTACACAATTGCAGAAACTTTGTTTGAATATTGGTCTCATTTTAAACTCTTCAAAACATTTTGTAGATGAAACCAATTTCTTGTTAACTCTTTTTTTCTGTTAACTCTTTTAAGTGAGCAAAACTGCCCCAGATACTAATATAACTCTGGTTTTCTTTGATTTTCTTACTTTGATCGTAAATCAACTAAATAATATACATTTATCATTAAATTAAAACATGGCTTTTGTTAGATAGAAGTGCTTAAAAAGTGACATTTGATGATTTTGTATTATGTTTTCCCTTTAAGTTCCTAAAAAATCTCGTGTAAGGTTCAGTAACATCATGGAGATTCGACAGCTTCCATCAAGCCATGCATTAGAAGCAAAGTTGTCTCGCATGTCATATCCTACTGTGAAAGAACAAGAATCCATATTGAAAACTGTGGGGAAACTGACTGCAACTCAAGTAGCAAAGATTAGCTTTTTCTTTTGCTTTGTGGTAGGTCTTTTCTTTATTATGTTTAGAACTTGAATTTTTAGATGGTATTTGTACCAACAATATAGTACTGAAGTGTAAGACTTTAAAAGGTTGGTTGATTATGACTTTAAGCTGCTTTCTGGCATCATTGGGAAGTTAGATTATCCAAGTTAGCAAAAGGTTACTCTACCTGAAAGAATTAGAAGTCAATAAATCCTGTAACACTACATCTATTCATAGACACACACACACACACACACACACACACACACATACACATATCTATACACAATTTGGGAAGTATTTCCAAATTTTTCGTTGCCCCAGAGGTAGAATTATAAATACAGTCATTTTACACTGTGATATATGCAGGGCTAGTAAATATCCGAGAAAAGTCTACTGTAAGTACTGACTTCTTCAAAGAGTGTTTTTGCAGTTTTACATTAAGTTTATGTAAATACAGTGAGTTATTATTTTAGCAAGTACTCATAGTGAATATTTCCAGAGTTTCTTGTAGTATTATTTATAGTGTCATTTTATTATAGGAACTGAAAAATGTACTTAAGATTTCACATAGAATAATGACATAGTAAATAAAATATTTTTATTTGGGGCTAAAGTAAGATTAGGGACTTGTGTGAGTTAGTGACAACTCTATAGTGTAGAATTTTAAAAATGAATTTCTTGCTACTTTATTTATATATCATTGGAATCCAAGGCTATTTAATATGAGCCTGTAAGATTCAGATTTATACTGAGTATCTTAAAGCACTAGACTATACCAGTGTCAATAATATTAGTCTGGTTACAAGGTGTTTTTACTTCATAATTTTGCCTCTTATATCCATTGACCAGTCCATTTCTCTCCATCTCCTGGCCTAATAGCTTCTACTTCAGTAATAATTTGACTGATACATTTTGCTATACAAATCAAAAGAAAATCTTTCGTAGTTGTATGATAATTACACATATAATAAAATAGTTTTAAGGCTTATATAGTTGAGTTATGCTATTTGTTGTGCTTTCTGCCTGTCAGGACTAAAATCTTTGAATTATATGCTTCCTTTCAAAGGACTTGAGGTAATATGGAATAAAAGCACCTGTATGGTAAAAGTTAAAACAAGGATAAAGGCCAAATTAAATGGGTAATGGGGATAGGAGCTGGCTGTGGAGTAGTATGCTTATATCGAGAACTTCAGTTCTGGGGAAGAGAGCAACTTCAGATGGGCATCTATAGGCAAAGTGGCAGGAAGGCAAAAGGAAACTCTTGAGTTTCATACATCTTTTATTGTCTACTAAAAAGAAGTATCTCCTTTCCTTGGATAAAGTAAACTTCGTTTTAACTTAAAACTGAGAGAAATATACTGTGGGAGATTCCAAGTCCCCTCAGTGGATACCTGAAGCCATGGAGAGTATCAAACCCTATATTTACCATGTTTTTTTCTATTCATATATACCTATGATAAAAGCTAATTTATAAATTAGGCACAATTAGCAATTAATGAAAACAATAATAATTTAGAACATTTATAATAATCATTTATTATTTAAAGCATGAGTTATATATCTCTGCAATTTTCCATTTAGTATTTTCCATTTAGTAAGTTCTTATGGAATAAGACACTATTCCGTATAGAGATAGGTACAGATAATAGTCTTCTTAAAGAAGTTTTTTTGAAAATTCATAGCAAAGCATAATGTAAAATTTACCATTTTAACCATTAACCATTTTTAAGTGTACCACCAGTGACTTTAAGTACACTCACGTTGTTATGTAATCAGCAGTCCATTCACATACTGAACTTTTTAAAAATCTTCTAAAACTGAAAGCTTATTCCTTAAACAGTAACTCCTCATTTCCACCTCTCCCAACCTGTTACCAGTACTATTCTACTTTCTGTCTTTCAGATTTTGACTACTACTCTAAGCACTTTTTATGACTGGAATCATACAGTACTTATTTTGTGACTGTCTTACTTAGTATAATATCCTTTAGGTTAGTTCATATTGTAGCATGTGTCAGAATTTCTTTTGAAGGCTGAATAATATTCCACTGCATTGAATATACCACATTTATTCATTCCTCTGTCAATAGACACTTGGGATATTTCCATTTTAATAGCATTCTCAATTTTTAAAATTTTATCATTTTCTTTTAAAGACAGAGTCTCACTGTATAATAGCCCAGGCTAGCCTCAGATTTGCAGGATGATTGTCCTGCCTCAGCCTCTTGAGTGCTGGGATCACTGGTGTGTTCCACACAAGTAATAGCATTTTTAAAAAATCAATCTTAAATAAATTCTGAGAGCAGAGAGCTATGTTAATCTGTAGTAAAGGAATTTCTATAGAAAGTCAGACTAATGATTCAGGTATGTAGCTTTTTAGAAACCTAACTTAATAAGTGATGTCAATTTTAATACTGTATTTTTATTTAACCCACTAGATATAAAATATTATTTCAGTATATTGTCTACATAAAATTATTGATGACATAGTTTACATTTTTTTAATTAAAATCTTCTAAAGCCAGGATATTGCACTTAAAACACACTTCAATTTGGACTAGCCAATTTCAGATGCTTGGTAGCCACATGTAGCTAATGTCCAATGTATTAGATGGTGCATAGCAAAGGAAGGTTATGCTTACTGCGTTCATCCTTCCTCTTTTAATGTCTTTTGTCTTATTAGGACTTATGGGTTTTTTTTTCTTTCTTTACTGTTTTTACATTTATTTACATGTGTATACGTTGATTGGGCTACCTCTTCCCCCCTCCCCTCTTCTCCCCCAGGGTTTTTTTTTGCCCTTTTTTTTTTTTTTTTTTTTTTTTTGTGGCACTGGGGTGAACTCAGGGCTTCACACTTGCTAGGCAGGTGCTCTTACCACTTGAACCACTCTACCAAATCTGTAAAATCTTATTTAGGTAGCACTTTATGAAGAAACTCCTCTTATATATCCAAAGGAAATTAAGTCAATGTCTCAAAGGGAGATTTGCACATGCTTGTTCATTGCACAGTAGTCACAACAGTCAAACTATGCAAACAGCCTAAGTGCCCATCAAAGTATGGATAAAGAAAGTATTTTATATGCATATATATATATATGCACACAATGTAATATTTTTCAGCCATAAAAAAGAGCATCAATATGGGTAAATCTGGAGGATAGATGCCAGGCATGGAAGCAAATACTGTAAGGGGCTTTTAAAATATTGAACTCATAAAAGCAGAAAGCAGAATGATGGTTGTCAAAGAATGGAGAAATAGGAAGATATTGATTAAAGAATACAGACTTTGTAAGATGAATAAGTTCTGGGGATTTAATTTACAGTCTAGTGACTGTAGACATTAATACTGACTGTCTGCTTAAAATGTGACAAGTGAGCAGATTTTGTGTTCCTGTTACACACACACACACACACACACACACACACACACACACTACTGTGTATAGTTTTGGATATGCTAATTAATTTGACTATGGTATTCAGTATGCAGTGTATAAATATGTGAAATCATCATGTTGGGGCTGGGGGTATAGCTCAAGAGGTAGAGTACTTGTCTAGAAAACCAGAGGCCCTGGGTTCAATCCCCAGTACTGCAAAATCAAATAAAGTACTTCAATTAATCTCCAAATAATCATGTTGTACATGTAGAATATATATAATTTTTATGGTCAGTTAAGTATCTTTTAAAAAAGAATCATGTCATTATATAATGGTATACTTATCATTATATAATAATTAAATGACAATTAGCATTGTCTTTAAAAATTTTTAAATGAATTACCACTCATGAAAAATGAAACACTATGTAAATTATTTGCTATAGTTATTAGTAATGAGATGTTGTCTTTGACTCTGGAATAATGAACAGAGATACTGTGTGGGTAATTTTTATTGAAGGAGCTGTGAGATGGGTCTTTGGCGATGAGGATGCCTTGGGCTTGAGAGACAGATAATAGGAAGGTATTTCTGGAAAGAGTTCAGAGCTAGTAAAGAATTCTTAAGATTTTTGAATGCCTACCAGTCCCATGATCTGTTTTTATTGGTCTATTTTGCATTAGCAGGGATCAGTGAGATTATTTGAAAAATGAGCACAATATTTAAGTATTAAAGTAATAAGAGAAGAGGGTCAAGCAAGTTAATTATCACCCTCTAAGCATTTTCTGTTCTCAGAATCTGATTTGTTTTTTTCTAGTACTTCAGCTACAAGCAGATTGCAGCTTCTGTTGCCATTTATGTTTGATATTATACATCTCTCCAATTGCTACCTCATTTTTGTATTTAAATAAGCAAATGAAAATATCTAGGAAATTAAGAGACTGCAGATTTGAATCACTTTGCTACTGCTTCATTCTGGCTTTAGCCATGAGCACACAAAAGATCAGTGAAGGTCACTATACTCTTAGCAATGTGTTACCTTTTCTTAACAGAGACAAGTCAGCATTCAGAGAAATAACTCTTTCAGTCAATCTGTGTAAATATCAGAGATACCAAAACAGTTAGGCTAGCAGTTACTTTAGTGACACTCATGCACTTATGCAACAGGTAGCACGTATTAGAACATTAGAACAATTACATTGTTTGAAATTGTTAAAAAAAAAAGTAATGGATCATTATCAATGAATGTAAATGAACTTTGGACAGACACACATCACATACACAATTTCATCAAAAGAGGTCCTATTTCTCATTCCCTAGATCAAAGTAGGCACATGATTGGGAATATAAGAATGTCCTAATGAAGCTTGTTGGAATTGTTCTAAGAAGGAGGGGAAAGGAGGATGAGGGAGAGTAATAGAAAGGGGTGAATCTAATTAAGATACCTTGTAAGCACATTTGTAAATGTCACAATGACCCCCCCTTGTACAACTAATATATGCTAATAAAAATTAAAAAAGAATGCCCTAACGTAGATGAGCAGAAGAGAAGAAAGAAGAAAAAAAATCCTCATAGCCAAAAACTTCCTTCACTGTATCCAAAGTTATTAGAACTCTGGCTTGTACCTCTAAACTGAGAATCAGCAAAACAGTCACAGTTAGCCAGTAAACTCAGTTTTCATTGGACTTTTCTAAAGTTTCCAGGGTGAATATGTATCCTTGGCCTTTTTTTTTTTAATGTATTTTGAAACAGGGGCTCACTCTATAGCCCAGGCTGTCCTCAAACTTTTGATCTCCCTGCTTCAGCCTCCTGAGTGCTGGGATTACAAGTGTGACCACTGTGCTTGGCATGAATGTAACTCTATGCATCATTCTAGCCATCTAGCTCGTTCCATCCATCTTTATGGACACATCATCTGGTTTAATAGAGTCCTCATTGTGCTTTCATCTGTATATGTTTTGTTAGAGGATTTCCTGAAATTTAAATTTGATTTAGATGAGCTTAAGAATTATAGCAGTGCTTGGATAAAACAAATTTTAAAGTTGATTTAATATTCAGTTTTATCCTCAATTAAAAAAAAAACCCTGAATGCTAATTTTTAACCAAATTTTGTTAGTTTCTTTCTTTTTATGTTATTGGTGGTAGTGGTAGTTTTAGGGACTAAACCTGGGGCCTTGTGCATGCTAGACAGGTGCTCTGCCATTGAGCTATCTCCCCATCCCTTGTTAGTTTTTTGTTTGCTTGCTTGTTTGTTTTGGAGACAGGGTCTCACCCGGTAGCCCAGACTGGGCTAAAACTTGCTATTTCACCTAGGGAACTAGTGATCCTTCTGCCACAGCCTCTCAAGTGCTAGAAGAGGGAAAACTGTAAATTGGAGTAACAGATATAAACATGCCTTTCATTAGGTTTCACTTTGTTTTCTTTTTCTTTAGTGGTTTTTGGCAAATTTGTCATATCAAGAAGCACTTTCAGACACACAGGTTGCTATAGTTAATATTTTGTCTTCAACTTCTGGTAAGAAATTTGTCTTCAAAATCGCATTATAAATTGATGTATGTATTTCTGGTGTATATGTGTGTATATAAATACACATATTTCTATCTCATAAGTTATACTAATTCTAATCTGCATTAATGTTATAACTCTTCTCAATATTTATAGTTTTCTGCTTTACCGTTGTGCTGTTTATGTTCCTTCAAGTAATTTGCAGTGGTTGGCTCTTTGTGTTATAGTTGTTTTACTCCATGCATAGTTTTTTTGTTGTTTGCTTTGTTTTGTTTTTATACACACACATATATGTATCCATATGCATATACATATATATATATGTGTGTGTGTGTATACCTATATCTATCTATCTAGAGAGAGAGACACAGAAGAGAGAGAGAGACACAGGAGAGAGAGAGAGACACAGGAGAGAGAGAGTGCACGCCCAGTCTGGCGTGGAACTCATCCTGTGGCTCAAGCTTGCCTTAAACACATGCTCCTCCTACCTTTACCTCACAAATGCTGGGATTATAGGCACGTACCACTGCCCCCCTGGAAATTCTCTCTCTTTTTATTTAGCAGTACTGGGGATTGAACTCAGGGCCTTGTGCTTGTTAGGCAAGTGCTCTAGCACTTGAGTGACATCCTCAGTCATGTTTGTTTTTCAGGTAGGGTCTCATGGTTTTGCTGGGACCAGCTTCGGGTTGTGATCCTCCTACCTCTGCCTTCTTAGTAGCTGTGATCACAGGTGTGCACTTCCAGGGATGACTTGTTTTTTGTTTTTGTTTGGCAGTACTTGGGGTTGAATTCAGGGCCTCTTCCACTTGAGCCACACCCCTAATTGCTTTGGTTTTTGTTTGTTTGTTCATTTTTGAGGTAATGGGGTTTGAACTCAGGGCTTACACTTTGAGCCACTCCATCAGCCATTTTTTGTGAAGGGCTTTTTTGAGATAGGGTCTCGGGAACTATTTGCCTGGGCTAGCTTTGAACTGTGATCTTCCTGATCTCTGCTTCTTGAATAACTAGGATTATAGGCATGAGCCATTGGTGCCCGGCTTGTTTTTTTGTTTTTGAGATAGGATCTTACAACTATGTCCAGGTTAGCCTGACCGTAGTTGTCTTATTTATACTTCCCAAGTGTCTGGGGTGACAGGCACATGCCACCATACCTAGTTTCCTATTGGTTGCAATAGGGTCTCACTAACTTTTTGCTTGGGCTGACCTGAAACCTCTATCCTTCTGAGGATAGAGGTTTAGGATTAAGGCTTGAGCCACCATGCCTAGTTAAGGTTGTTTTTGAAATAGGGTCTTACTTTTTGCTGTGGATAACCTTGAACCAAGATCCTCCTATCTTCACCTCTTTAGTAGCTGGGATTACAGACATTGTGCCACCACACCTGGCCTGTTTTTGTTTTTGTTTTGCAGTAATGAGGATTGAACTCAGGGCCTCATGCTTGCTAGGCAAGCACTCTACCACTTGAGCTTCTCCCTCAACGGCACATATCCTTTTTAGAGATCTTTTTCTAGATCTTTTGTCTAAATGTAATTGCTTATTTCAGAACTATAATTTTCCCTATGGTAGGTGTTTTATTTTTAAAATTGAATCACCTTCCAAATCTGGAAGATAAAAGAAGTATTTTTGAAACTAAAAATAACTTTAGCACACAGGCTTGATTAAGATGAAGTTTCAGTGTTACTCTGAATGTTCCATTTATTCGTTTAAAAATAAATAGGACTATACTCGATCTTTATTGTTGTAATAAACATGGTTTATACAGGCTATTTTTACATATGATTCTTTGAACATTTCAGCTTATATGACTATAGTTTTATTCTTTGTTGTTTGAAAATGACAAAAAGTTAAGTTTAAAAGTTAGATATGTAATTACTAATTTAGACAATGAAGTTGGTAGTAAGTAATGTGGAGAGTATTTAAGCTCCTGTACTTTTTCTTTTGTCCTTTTCTCCCCATAGGACTTTTTACCTTAATCCTTGCTGCAGTGTTTCCAAGTAACAGTGGAGATAGATTTACTCTCTCTAAACTATTAGCTGTAATTTTAAGGTAAGAATATAGTATAAGCTAGTTTACTGTGCTTGAGAATATGATATGATGCTGAAAAAAATTTCTGGTCTTGATACAGGATAGATTTTTTTTTTATTATTATAGTACATAGGCAAGGAAAGATAAGATAAAGAAAGTTTCAAATGGGTATTATGTTACTCATCCTGCATCACATGATGGAGCAGTTACCCTTCCTGGAAGGAATAACAGAGGGAATGACCCCAAGGGAACTTTGGTTCCCACTCATGTGATTGAGGACTTACTAAGTATTGTACTGACATTCAGGTTTAAATTAATGTGCCAGCTTAATCAGCATAACTTCCCAAGTGTCTATGTCCTAAGACAAGTTTACTTTATTGGTTTGGCTTTGATTTGTCCTTCTTCTAGAAATCTCATGTTCAAAGAAGTCTGATTGTCTCATTCTCCAGTGATCTTTCACTTATTTTTAGTCTGACTCATTTGGAATTTTTATTTTTTTTGTAAGGCTGGGGTTTAAACTCAGGGCTTCACACTTGCAAAGCAGCCACTCTTATCTCGAGCCATGCCTTCAGTCCATTTTGCTTTGGTTATTTTAGAGATGTGGTCTCACAAACAATTTCCCCAGACTGTCTAGAACTGTGATTCTCCCAATCTCAGACTCCCAAGTAGCTAGGATTATATGCATGAGCCACTGGTGCCTGGCTGGAAATTTTATACTACTGCATAGCAGCACCATTGTCAATAACTATATTTTATGTCTTATATTTAACTTTATGTTCCCTATTGGATTATAAACCTTTGATTGCTTAAGCCTTGTTTTATAATTTTTCCTGTTGCCAAAAGTTTACTATAGGGCCTTTCCAAAGAGATGTTTGAAAGCTCAAGAACATTTTGGTGCAGTAAAAACCCATCTAACATCTCTGAAGACCAAGTTTCCTGCTGAACATTGTACTCAAAAATGATAAAGCTGTTATTTTCATAAGAAAAAATGTCAGAAATCAAAGAAGGTACCAGAATGATTTGAAAGTAGTGTCTTTTAACTATCAAAGATGGAATTGAATCAGAGCTCTGTTGTTTGCCTCTGAGCAGTTCCCATAAACTCTGTCCCCATTGAGAAAATGATAGTAATATCTGCTTTGCAGCCTTGTTTTAAAGTTTGGAGCAGTGTATGTAAAGTGATTATCATAGAGATTAGTACTTGACAATCATAGGAGATTGTCAAGTACTAATAAGGGGAAATTGACCATGGGTGTTTCACTGAGTAGTCTGGTGGCCTAATTAATTTATTGGTTAGATGTCATAGCTACCAGGAGTTTATTCTTTTGCATGATTGGCTGATGTTTTAGCCAAGTGTGTGTTTGCATTAAGAAAATATAGTATGTTTGTACTGGGGAAGTTAAGTGAAGTTTTATTCAAACCTTTTTCAAAATATATGCTAATTTCTAACAGTACTATTTTAGAAAGGTTTGATAAATAAGGGAATGGATTTAAAATGTTGTCAAAATGTTGCAAGTATTTTGACACAATCTATTACTCTTAATTAAAGTAGGTCTAGAACTGGGGTTAGAAAACTATGGTGGGCCATTTGTCCGTTTTTGTAAATAAAGTTTTATTGGAACACCACCATTCTCCTTCATTTGTATATTATCTATGGCTGCTGTAAGACCACAGCAGTAGAGTTGAGTTGCAAAAGAGACCATATGGCTCACAGTCTAAAATATTTACTTTCTGTCCCTTAAAAAAATGTTGCTTGACCTGTGGTCTAGAATTGATTCTTTAAAATTTTTGTATATTATGCATTCTGAAGAATACTGTATTAAACATTGTTTGATATTTGGTTTTTTTTTCTTTCTTTTATTTTATCATTTTTACATTTACTTACATGTGTGTACGTTGTTTAGGCATGATCTGTTCCACCCTCTTCTCTGATTTTGTTGAAGAGAAAACTTAGGAGATAATAGGAAAGATACAGCATTTTTTGCTAATTTGAGATAAAGATAACTATACAGAGATATTACTAGCTTTGCTTTCATGCACTTGTGTATTGCAACACACACTGGTTCATCTCTGCCAGACCTCTTCACTTCCTGCTCCCCTTTCCATAGTGGCCTCTGCCAGTTTAAGATTACTTTATTCACTCCTCTACAGTGAGCACATCAACCACATTCATGTTTTAGGTTACCTTTCCTTTTCCTATTCCTCCCATATGCTTTCTCCCCTTAGTGTTTGACTCATGTCCGATAATATTACTATATTTGTTTTAGATCTATAATCTGCATATGAGGGAGAACATGTGATTTTTGGTCCTCTGGGCCTGACTAACTTTGCTTAAGATGATGTTCTGCAGTTCCATCCATTTACTTGTGAATGACAAAATTTCATTCTCCTTTGTGTCTGAATAAAATTCCATTGTGTATAAATGTCACATTTTCTGAATCCATTCATCAGTGCTGGGGTATGTTGGCCATTTCCATAGCTTGGCTATTGTGAATAGTGCTACAATAAACATGGGTGTGCAGGTGCCTTTGTAATAATCTGAGTCACATTCCTTTGGGTATATCCCTAGGAGTGGTATTTCTGGATCATATGGCAGATATATGTATGGTTTTTGTTTGTTTTTTGTTTTTTTGCAGTATGGGAATTGAACCCAAGCCCTAGTGCATGCTAGGTAAGCACTCTGCCACTGAGCTACAACAGCCCTCCCACCGCAAGCTTATGCATGGAAAATAATATGGAGACTTCTTAAAAAACCAAAGTGTTTGTACTAGCTTGCAACTGCACCAGCAACGTATGAGGGTACCTTTTTCCCACATGCTCGCCAACATTTGTTGTTGGTGGTGTTCTTGATGCTAGCTATTCTAACAGGAGTGAGGTAGAATCTTAGTGTGGTTTTGATTTGCATTTCCTTTATGGCCAGGGATGGTGAACATTTTTTCTTCTGTTTTTTGGCCATTTGGACATCTTCCTTTGAAAAAGTTCTGCTTAGTTCAGTTGCCCATTTCTTTATTGGGACATTGATTTTGGAGAAGTTTAGTTTTTTGAGCTCCCTTTGTATTCTGGTTATCAATCCTTTGATGTAAGGCTAGCAAATATTTTCTCCCACTCTGTGGGTGGTTTCTTCCATTTAGAGACCATTTCTTTTTTTGTGCAGAAGATTTTAATTTCATGTAGTCCCATTTATCCATCCTTTCTCTTAGTTGCTGGGCTACTGGAGTTCTACTGAGAAACTCCTTGCCTATGCCTGTTGTTTCCAGGGTGATTCCTGCTCTTTTGTGTACTAACTGCAAGGTTTCTGGTGTGATATTAAGGTCCTTAATCCACTTTGAGTTGATACTAGTACAAGATGACAGGTATGGATCTAGTTTCAGTTTTCTGCAGGTAGATAACCACTTTTCCCAGCAACAGTTGTTAAAGAGGCTGTCTTTTCTCCATCGTATGTTTTTGATGCCTTTATCAAAAATAAGGTGGGCTTTGTGGATTCATATATGGGTAATCTGTTCTGTTCCACTGGACTTCATATCTGTTTTTGTGCCACTACCATGCTGTTTTTATTGCTATGGCACTGTAGTATAGTTTGAAGTCAGGTATTGTGATACCTCCAGCATTGTTCTTTATGCTCAATATTGCCTTGGCTGTTCATGGTCTTTTGTATTTCCAAGTGAACTTTAGGGTAGATTTTTCAATCTCTGTGATGAATGTCATTGGGATTTTGATGGGGATTGCATTAAACATGGAGATTGCTTTTGGTAGTGTAGCCATTTTTACTATGTTGATTCTGCCAATCCATGAGCATGGGAGATTTTTCTATCTTCTTTAGTCTTCCTCTATCTCTTTCACTAGTGATTTGTAGTTCTCCTTGTAGAGGTTATTTACACCCTTCGTTAAGTTTACTCCTAGGTATTTGATTTCTTTTTTAAGCTATTGTAAGTGGAATTGTTTTCCTATATTTTTTCTCAGTTTGTTCATTGTTGGTATATAGAAAGGCTGCTGATTTTTCTAAGTTGATTTTGTATCCTGCTACATTGCTGAAGCTGTTTATGATGTCTAGGAGTTTTTTGGATCTTTGAGGTATAGGATCATGTCATCTGCAAATAGAGATACTCTGACTATTTCTTTACCTATTTGTATCCTATTATTTCTTCTTCTTGCCTTATTGCTCTGGCTAGGAATTCTAGTGCTGTATTGAATAGGAATGAGGGGAGTGGGCACCCTTGTCTCATTCCTGAGTTTAGGGGAGATGGTTTCAGTTTTTCTCCATTAAGTATGATGTTGGCTCTAGGTTTGTCATATATAGCTTTTGTAATGTTGAGGTATATTCCATCTAGTCCTAGTTTTCTTAGAGCTTTTATCATGAAGTGGTGTTGAATCTTATCAAAGGCTTTTTCTGCATCTATTGAGAAGATAAATAGATCTTGTCTTTGCTTCTGTTAATGTGCTGCATTACATTTATAGATTTGCACATGTTGAACCACCCCTGCATCCCTGGGATGAAGCCGACTTGGTCGTGGTGAATGATCTTTCTGATATGTTGTTGGATTCGTTTGCCATTATTTTATTGAGGATTTTTGCATTGATGTTCATTAAGGACATTGGCCTATAGTTCTCCTTTTTGGATGTGTCCTTTTGCCATTTTGGGATGAATGTAATGCTGGCTTCATAGAATGAGTTAGGCAGTGTTCCTTCTCTTTCTATTTTGTGGAAAAGTTTAAGGAGTGTTGGTATTAGTTCTTTGAATTTCTGGTAGAATTCAGCTGAGAACCTGTCAGGTCCTGAACTTTTCTTTTGGGAGACTCTTTATTGCTGCTTCAATTTCATCATATGTTATAGATCTGTTTAGGTAGTTAATATCCTCTTGATTCAGTTTTGGATGGTCATAAGAATCCAGAAATTTGTCCATTTCTTCAAGATTTTCCAATTTATTGGAAAATAGGTTCTCAAAGTAGTATGATGATTCGCTGGATTTTCTTGGTGTTTATTGTTATCTCCCTTTTTTCATTTCTGATTTTACTAATTTGGGTCTTTCCTCTCCTCATTTTAGTTAGATTTGCCAGGGGCTTGTGAATCTTGTTTGTTTTTTTCAAGAAACCAGCTTTTTGTTTCATTGATTCATTGTATGGTTTTTTGGTCTCTATTTCATTAATTTCGACCCTTATTTTTATTATTTCTCACTTTCTGCTTGTTTTGGGTTTTGCTTGTTCTTGTTTTTCTAGGAATTTGAGATGTAGCATTAGGTCATTTATTTGAGATCTTTCTGTCCCTTTAATATATGCACTCATGGCTATAAACTTTCCTCTTAGGACTGCCTTTGCTGTGTCTCATAGGTTCTGGTAGGTGGTGTTTTCATTTTCGTTAGCTTCTGGGAACCTTTTGATTTCCTCTCTTATTTCTTCTATGACCCGCTGATCATTGAGCAATGTGTTATTCAGCCTCCAATTATTTGTGTATTTTCTGCTGTTTCTTTTGTTGCTGAGTTGTAGTTTTAATGTATTGTGATCAGATAGAATGTATGGCATTATTTCTGTTTTCTTGTGTTTGTTGAGGCTTGTATTGTGCCCTAAGATATGATTTATTTTGGAGAAAGTTCCATGGGCTGCTGAGAAGAATGTATATTATGTTGTTGTTGAATAAAATATTCTGTAGACATCAGTTTGGTTCATTTGGTTTATGGTATAATTTAGTTCTAGGATTTGGATGACCTATCTATTGGTGATAGAGGGGTATTAAAGTCTCACACTACCACTGTGTTGGAGTCTATATGTGTTTTTAAGTCCTTTAGTGTATGTTTGATGAGATTGGTGCACTGACATTGGGTGTATTTAGGTTGATAATTGTTATTTCCTTTTGAAGTATTGCCTCTTTTATTAGTATGAAGTGTCCTTCTTTATCTCGTTTGACCAATGTAGGTTTGAAGTCTACTTTGTCTGATGTAAGTATTTTGACTCCTCCTGCCTGTTTTCAGGGGCCATTGGCTTGGTAAATCTTCCAGTCTTTCACCCTAAGCCAGTGTTTATTTCTGTTAGTAAAATTTAAGATGGGTCTCTTGTAAACAACAGATTGTCAGAGCTTCCTTTTTAATTCAGTTTGCGAAGCAGTGTCATTTGATGGGGGAGTTGAGTCCATTGACATTCAGTGTTAATATTGAGAAGTATGTGGTGATTCCTGCCATTTAGTTGTTTTTGTTGTTTAAGGATTTAATTGTGTATAGTCGATCAATTCTACTCTCTGGTTACCTGTGTTTTCTTATCCTGTGGTTTGATACTTCCCATTGTCTCATGGTTTTATTTGCTTTCATCTTCTGTGTGCAGAATTCCTTGTAGAATCTTCTGTAGTGGTGGCTTGATGGTCATGTATTGTTTTAGTTTCTGTTTATTGTGGAAGATTTTTATTGCTCTGTCAATTTTGAATGACAGTTTTGCTGTGTAGAGTGTCCTAGGGTTGAAGTTATTTTCATTCAGTGCCCAAAATACCTCACTCCATGCCCTTCTTGCTTTTGAAGTTTCCGTTGAAAAATCTGCTATTATTTTGATGGGTTTGCCTTTATACGTTGTTTGTTTTTTCTCTTATAGACTTCAATATTCTTTCTCTGTTCTCTGTATTTTTTGTTTTAATGATAATATGCTGTGGGAAGGTTCTATTTTGGTCATGTCTGTTTGATGCCCTGGTGTCCTGTACCTGAATGGGCAAACTTTCTTGAGATTTGGGAAATTTTCTGTTATTATTTTATTGACTGTATTATGAATCCCTTTGGCTTGCACTTCCTCTTCTTCTTCAATGCCTATGATTCTCATGTTTGCTCTTTTGATGGCTTCACTAAGTTCCTGCATATTCCTTTCACAGCTCTTGAGTTGTTTAACAAAGATTTCTTTTGTTTTTTCCTTTAATTTCTATTTTATCTTTGAGCTTTGAGAGTCTGTCTTCTACTGTTGTAGTCTGCTGGAATGGCCTTCTCGGTGTCTGTTTTTAACTGGCCTTAATGAGATTGAATTTCTGTAGTTATGAGAAAAATTTGACAAGGAAATCTTCTGATGAGCTAAGAAATCTCATTTCATCATCTATGATCCAGTCCCACCTATATTATCACTAGTTTGGATGTCTTGGGCAATTTTATTTTTTATCTCTCTGCCTATTTATCTGTAATTTGGGGATAGGATTCTTAGGCAGATTTGGAACAATGTCTGTTATACAACAGGTGCTCAAAAATACAGTTAGCCATCATCATCATTTTCATTATCATCATCATCATTTTCATTATCATCATCATCTAAAATGTCTGGTTTCTAGTATTTTTGAGTGTTCAACAAATAATAGTTGAATCTAATCCAAACAAAAGGAAAATGATTATTTAATATTATGAATATTTAATGTGTTATATAACTGTCATGACTTCATTTCATAAGAGATAAAAAATTTTGTCTTAGTACTCCTGTCCCACTGCCATCGTGGTTTTTTTCATCAGTGAAAGAATTAGACCAATTTAAAAAAATTTGCAATATTTCATTTACTTGACAACTTATATGTATAACTTACAAGATACATAGAGTTAGAAAGGCAGCATGAGGTCTTTGAAAATAAGAATGACATCAATCTTATTCACTGCAGTAGTACTGTAGTTTGCTCATACTAGATGATCATTAAGTAACAGCTGAATGAATAAATGACATCTGACTTTCTGACATTCTTAGTTCAGTCTTATTTTTATGCACTAAAATCATGGGATTGACAGAACTCTGTAAGTATGTAAGTGTAGTTTTACTGTCAATGTAGGTTTTACTAAGAAGCAAGAATAGTGCTGTTGCTAGGTTTATGTAGCTTTAATTTATTTATATCTCCAAAGCAAAGATTGACAGCCTCATGACAAGTTAGTTAACTTTTCCATTATTGAAAGGTAGTATTTAAAGGTGTTAGTCTCTGGAGCCAGCTGCCTGTGTTTCAGTCCCAGCTGTGTGGCGTTGCTTAAGTTACTTTATCTCTTTCTGTACTGGTTTTCTCATGTAGAATGGGAATGGCAATAGTAATACTTTCTTTATAAGGCAATATTATGCATTGTGTGAGGTTTAAATGAGTTAAGTGAAGTACTATACTATACTGATAATATCCAATAGCTGTTATTAACAAAATCACTGAATTCTTTTGCAGTTTTACCCAGACTTGAGGTTAGTTCTTGATCACTTATGACTCATTTTTATCTTTATGATGAGTCTTTTAGGAGTTTATTATTTGCTCGTCAGTAATGACTGTTATTCTTATAGTATTGGAGGTGTTGTGCTGGTAAACCTGTCAGGATCTGAAAAATCTGCTGGAAGAGATACAATAGGTAAGTACCTGATTCTGCATTGTCAGAGTATATAAGCAAGTTTTGTGCTGTTGTCATGCATGTAGACATGTGCATACATAGAGTCTGGGCACTAATATAGCCTTTTTTTTTTTCACTTTTCCTTTGGAAATAATGTAAAAAACAGTGTTTTATAGAATTCCTATATGATGTTAACCCAAATTTCCCAGATGTTAACAGCTTGTATAAGTATAGTACAGTTACAAAAATTAGGAATTAATATTGATTATAATACTGTTATCTAGTCTATAGACCTATTTTATATTTACCCATTTTTTTCTACAATGTTCTTTTTCTGGCCCAGGATCACTTGTTAAATTTAGTAGTCATGTCCCCTATTTTCCTTTAATCTGGAGCTATACCTCACTCTTTTTTGTGTTTTATGACCTTAACACTTCTGAAGGGTACTGCTAAGTTATTTGGCACAGTGTTCCTCAGTTTGGGTTTGTCTCACATTTCTTTCTGGTTAAAATGAGGCTGTACGTTTTGCTTACAATATGTTGCTTTAACCTATTCCTGGTAAGGTTAGTTTTAAGGTGGCATTTGCCAGTGTGCTCCAGTGTAGTTAGTTAATTATTCTCTCTGTAGGTAATAAGCATCTTTTGGATAGAAATATCCTGTTGCTAGGGTATTTTCACCCACTAATTTTGTCTTTCACTGTTGTTCTTGCCTGAAATACTTACTGCTATGGTGAACACTTAGTTTTTGATCTAGTGCCTAGATTTATCTCAGACAAAGGTAGTCAGAACACAGCTTTGCAGTTTTCCTCTCAGTAGTTTCTTTAGATATTTGAAGCTTAGTGAATAGAACAGTGCATTCTAAATTATTTCTGGTTACTGCCCTGTGAAGTGTGCCTTAAACTACCTCACCTATTTCTCACTCATCAGCTTTGTGTATATGTATATAAAACAATATATGTATTTGTTTTGTGTGAGCAAGATTTCGTTGACAGCCTTTTTCTTGCTTTAAAAAAGTTTTAAGACAATAAAAAAGATTTAATAAAACATTGGCCTTTTGAATAATTGATTAAAGTATTGATTATGGTAACTTGACAGAAGCACATTATGGTTGTTTTTGAAAGTCAGTTAATGAAGAGAACCAGTATTTATTATTTACATACTATTAGCTTCACAATGGATTAGCTATTTTAGAACATTTATAAGTATAAATTATGTTTTTATAGTTTTCAAGGAGTTCTTGATTTGAAACAGAATCTGATATTTACAAAATAAAGCCATGAGAGAATAAAGTAATAACATATTTAGCCACAGAAAGTGTTAAATCATCTAAAACAGAAAACCATTAGGTTGAAAATTCCGCATAGTAGAAAGCATACACTTTGTGGGAGAGGTGGGACTTTAACACAGCCTTGGAGATGGGCATAGTAGTGGCAATAAATTTTAGAAATGATATGTGGAAAAGCAAGATTAAGCAACTGCTTATAGACAGTGTTAAGTTATACAGTGTCAGGTGTCAAAGTTTTTTCTGGATGGAAAAATAAGTATACATTTCAAAACTAAAACCAAAGTGTTATGTATATGACTTTTATTATTATATACAGCTGTTTGGTTAGACCATTGAGGTGAATGCTTTGGTATTTATTCATTTACACATTAAATTTCTTTCTATACTTCTGGAGAACCCGTGTGGGATGGTTATTCCTCTTTTCATTTTTGTGGAATTAGTATGACACATTAAATTTTAAATAAGTGTATATTGAATGATTTAACAAATGGATACTTTAAGTTATTACATTGATTTTTACAGGTTCCATTTGGTCCCTTGCTGGAGCCATGCTCTATGCTGTTTATATTGTTATGATTAAGAGAAAAGTAGACAGAGAAGATAAGTTGGATATTCCAATGTTCTTTGGTAAGAATATGTTTAACTTGTGAGTCTGTTTACTTTCAGTGATTAACACAGGATTTTGTTTTTGTTTTTTGAAGAGAATAAGGAAGGTTTTTTCCCCTGTATATGATTTTCTAAAATTGTTTTAAAGATTATAAAGTCCAGTCTCTATGTTTTTCTCTTACCGTATCTTGTGTTATTGTATACATATGAGGGACCACCCATTCCTTTGATATGAGGTTGAGAAAAGAACTCCTAGCATCTTTTTTACATTAATGTCTTCATCCTGTGAATCGATAGATTCTGTTATTGATATGACAGAATTATACTACTATACACACGAGAGTTCACCTGTGATATTATATACTTTGCCACTTTTGAATTGTTGGAAGCATAAGATTAAGAAAACTGCCCCCAAAATGATATGTATAATATCATAAGTCTGTATACTTACTTTCACTAAAATTCATGGGCCATTTAAAGGCTTTCCATTTACACTTTGTCTATTAAGACTCACTCTTCTATGACCTAAGAGTCTCAAATTACTGAAATATAGTTCTGGTACTAATTCTTAGGTCTTAGAAAATAAAATATCTTAATACAATTTATAAATTTTCTTTGCCTAAAACAACTTGTAGCTGAAGATTGCAAAAGAAGGGCAACATTGACAAGATATTTCCAAAGCTATTTGAATATAAATAGATAAGGAAGCCTCTGATGAGAATTCAGAGTGCAGCTTATAGGGAATCACTGGAATCTAGCTGTATAACTTCCTTTATTTAGTACTTATTTGATAAATGAAGATATTGGACTAGCTGAGTAGCTTCCAAATTTGGATTTAGGGAATTTGGAGGTCTTGGGTAGGCTGGAGTAGGTGGAGTTGCAGGGGTTTGATTCTTGAACTCCTTTGCTGCTTCCACTTGTACATTCTGCTTTGTTGAGGTTTTGCATTACTTAATTTGTAGAAACTGTTTTCCATCAAAAGTACTCCTCAGATCAACAAAAATAAAATATTTAAAACACTACCAGACTGAAGATCATCTAAATTCCCATTAAATATAGAATTCAAAAATATGTCTTTAAAGCAAAGATAATTTTAATATACTTTAGAGTATATTAGAATGAATGCTCACTTTTTTTAGCATTTAGATAAATACATTGTTTCAGTATCACTTTATCATTGGCAACTTGCAAAAAATGGCTTAATTTTTCATCAGTGAGATTATACATGTAGCTTATAGTTTTGGTCTTCATATATGATGTGATATGTAAAGCAATATTGATCTGCCCTGGGCTTTAGAATAGGGTTTGGAGTGGATTCCTCAGGCAAGGGAGCATGAACAGAGGCCTAACAGGGAACTGTGAGTGGTTTTGAATGATTATGCAGGATGTTCAACTTAAGGAAACATAGGAAGATATGAGCAGCTAGTTTATGGAGTCTGGGGACTAGGAGAAGTGATGTGGACTTTTATCTCTAGGTTGAGAAGTTGTCAATTTATGTGGGATTTCACAAACTTGGCACTTTAGGGAACAGAAAATAGATTTGATTCTGTATAATACCAAATTTTGGTGGCTTACTTAGAACAACTTTTAATGTTATTTGCGTATTTTAGAATATGAGTCTCTTCTATATATCTGTCCTTTGTTTTTTTCAATCACTAAGTATCTCAAGTTGGGTTCCCTAAAGCAGGATATGAAATGGGGAGATTTGTTGTGAATAGTTTCTTGGTTGGGATGGGGGTGGGTCTTCTGAAGGAAAAACTGGTGAAGGAGTGAAGAAAGCAGAATAAACAAGCAAAGAAGCACATGTTTACCACTGGTCATGGAACCAAATTATGAGATTTGACCCAATTCATAGTTAGAACCAGGGACAGGAGGAGAGTAAGACACATGTCTAGATATTTCTCAGAGTAGTCTTGGCCTTGAGCCTTGAGGGCTAGCCTTGTGAATTGACTGATTGAATCAGCCAATCAATGTTTGACTGCAGAAGGATGGGGATTAGGACCTTCTTGGGAAAGGCAAACTTGTATGTTCTCCAAAAGATAGCATCTCAGAGAATGGGAGTGGTTGAGTCTTTAGCATCAGATACAGAATGGGTACTCCTGTCGTTAATGAGACTTAACTAGCCAACTAAAATGCTAGCTTTTTATTTAAGTGATGTATTTAGGTGAATTATAAAATATGTATCTTTTAAAGAAAGCTCTAGAGTTACCACATGGATCCCCCAACGGATCTGTGATATTAAGCTATATAGAAAGAGCAATAAAGTTACCATAATATTATAATATTTTTTCCTTATAAGCTTTGCATTCACCTATAAAAATCATATATAAACTTAATTTATTCTATAAGAGTAATAGCTAACTTTATTAAGTATCTAGTATGTGCCAGGCACTCTGCTGTGTTTTATCAGTGTTTTGTTTGCTATTTCCAGAAACCTAATTAGGTATTATTTTATATTTATAGAATAGAAAAACCTCTAACAGGTTCTCCATCTTGCAAAATGTTTGTTGTTGCTGTTGCTATTGTTTGGTTGGGTTTTTCATTTTTTATTTGTTTGTTTGTTTTTTGCCAATACTGGGGTTTAAACTCAGGGCCTTGAGTTGACAAGCAAGTGCCCTACCAGTTGAGCCAGGCTTGATGCTCACAATATTAGTAAATGGTGTCCAAACCCAAGGCACTCATATTGCACAGCACTTTTATCCAGTGCATGAGATAGCCTTCTTTTATAAGTTGTTAATCTGTTATTAGTTCATATACTGAGTAAGTATTTGTGTACATGTGTTGTATCACCTGCTACCCTTTGTGCTCTGGGAAGGCAGGAACCATGAATGTTGCCTTCTTTGGAACCTGCTTCCACTATTCCTAGTATACCACATCTGCTTTAAATATAAATATAAGTTAAATCAGAGTGCAAGCCATGTAATTCCTCATGATTAATTTAGGCTGGACACACAAACACATACTAAGTTAATTCTTTAATTTCTAGGATACTATTATTAATAGCCGAGGTTCACAGTCTTCATTTTGAATTGTTTTAAGTGATTTATTCCACAGTAATTGCTCTTATACAGTATGACTGGTTGAGCCTCAAAGTCAGTGCTCACTAGATACCTGATACTGTTTTTCCTAATGTTGAGCTGTTCATAGAAATGACTTTTAAAAAAAACCAACAGAAGTTCTAGTTAAGGAAACCTGTTGGGTTCTCTTTATGCAAAATCTGTTTTCTAATAATAGCTATAAGCTTGGAAAATTGAAATAAGTCCTAATTTTAACTTTTTCTCTCTCATACATATTTAGGTTTTGTGGGTCTGTTTAATCTGCTGCTCTTATGGCCAGGTTTCTTTTTACTTCATTATACTGGATTTGAGGACTTCGAGTTCCCCAATAAAGTAGTATTAATGTGCATTATCATCAATGGCCTTATTGGAACAGTACTCTCAGAGTTCCTGTGGTTGTGGTATGTACTCTTTATTCTACTATGACCTATTAGTTATCAGTTTATTGACTTCTGCCTTCTCCTGGCCACTCCTGTGCATCTCACTTTTACACATACACTTAGAATTCAGTATATTAACTCTGTTAGAGCGGGGACTTTGTTCCCATTGCAGAGTAACTAATTGGCCAGCCTCTTTTGAATACTGCTACTAACTCTTAATCAAGAGGTAGTTTCTTTTATTGCAGGGCATCATTATTAATTCTAACACATTCTACGCTAGAATTCATTTGCCTATGACTTCCTTGGGTCTTTAGGCCTAATTATGTACATCACAGTTTTATATTGGCTTATAATTCATTGTTTTTCATATATATCCAGTTTGTAAGTCTTTGTAAATGTCTTGTCTGCTTCTATTTGGTATAATATTTTCCTTCAACTGCGAAAAATTACATGTGCATTGATATTTCAAAATTTGATAGCAACATTGATATTTCAAGGTGAAAATAAAATGAAGAGCTTAGCTTTTGGTTAAGACAATTGCTAAAAAATGGAAATCAACAAGGAAATATTATTTAAAATGTTCAGTTCTTTCTTCGCTATGCTGAGCCAAGTCAAAGCAATAACACAATATTTTAGTTTTCATGATGGGGAGATATTTTTGCTTTGGTGACAGAGTCACATGTTGACTTGTCATTTTCCTGAAGTTGTATGTCCTGTAGTTTTAATAATGCCATTTTCTTTGTTAGCCAAGTATTGTCACAAAACTGTAAAAATTCTTCTCAACAGTTTAAATTTATGAAATGTAGACTATATATGCAAAGTTGAATAATAGCTGAAAAAAGATCTCAAAAGTAGCATAAAGTACTTTGAACTTTTTATACTTACATATTTGTATTTTTAATATTTGAAGCTAAACTGTGGAATCATCTTAATAACTTTATTATTTTTGTGTGTCAGTCCATCCTAAGCTTTTACTTTTGCTCCTGATCTTGAGCCTATATTGTTGGATAGAAAATCTTATTGAATGGGTTTTTTTTCTATTTTTAATCAGAGATGTATTAACTTTCTCTGTTATTTATTTTTTAGGGGCTGCTTTCTTACCTCGTCACTGATAGGCACACTTGCACTAAGCCTTACAATACCACTGTCCATAATAGCTGACATCTGTATGCAAAAGGTAAGGCAAACTATTTGTTAGATACTTTAGGTATATTAAAACAGACCTAATGAAAGTGAAGGGATGTGTCTAAATTATACAAATATGAATAGTACTTGCTGCTGTCTGTCTCAAAGTGTGTTATGTAAATATTAAAAAGTACAAAGACATAGGTAATCTGCATTCTTGGCTTTTGAAATTTTTCTAAAGTGGTAGATTAAGGGCAGTATTTTTTTAATCTTTTTTTTTTTTTTTACATCATACGAGTAATGTGCCAACCTCAAAACAAGATTTGAGGGAGGTACATGTTGTGCAAAGGTGTTAACACCCAATAATCACGCTTAAGAACCAAAAATGATCAAAGGGCAGTATTTTTGATATGTAGTTCTCTAGTTTTTAGTTGATTATATTCCAAATGTCTTTGGTATAGGTCAGTGATATGGAATATGGGATACTTTTTATCATATAAATAGTAATATTTGGTTTCTAAATAAACTCAAGGTTCCTTAACACCCCACTAATACTGCTATAGAAGTGAGCAGCACAGGAATGATGTGATTTCTTAGTGAATGTTCATCTCTGTCTGGACTCAGCACAGCAGGTGTCCCTTCCCTGGTATGAAGTTCTGGTCTGGATGCAGGGATTCTGGTGATAAATGCTGGTAATGATGACATCGCAGAAAAGAGAATCTGGGTTCTCTCTGCTGGCAGCCTAGAAGGGAGGAATTTCTTCAGTAGCCCTAGGGACAGCAGGGGAAAGAGGTGTGCCTTTGCCTACTGCTGAAGATGGAGTAGAGCCACTTACCATGCAGTCAGTATTTGTAAGCTTTTCACTCCTAAGTACTAAAAGTCTGTGTGTATGTGTGTGTGTGTGTGTGTGTGTGTGTGTGTGTGTGTGTGTGTGTAATATAATTTGAAGAGGGAAACACTTGAAAGCCCAAAGGCTTGGATGTGTACAAGTAATAGTCTTATTCTTAAAGCTACTTTTCTTTAGGTCTTTGTTCAGTTTGGGGGACAAAGAAAAAATGTTCTCAGTGGTGTGTATCATCTTTATTTAAAAACAATTCTGTACAGATATTTCTAGATTATTAAATATACTGGTAAATATTCCAAGAATGTGTTATTTATTGATAATTTGGTAACTAAATGAAGACTTTTTATACCAACTTAGCCCTTGTGTGTATGTATCATACAAATCAGGTAGATGTGTTAAACATTGCCAGAGTGATTATTCTTTTGTTGTGCCTTGTGAGTCTCTCATAAAAGACAGTATTCTCATAAAACCCCTTTGCTCTGATTAATGGTGTCACTAAATAGGATGGTGTGTATTTTCCATAAGAGGGAGTCTTGCCTCCCTCAACTTCCTTCTTTTCCCCCATTTTAACTCTCAAGAGGGCAAATGCTTTTTCTTCCCTATTTAAAAGCTAGGAGTTCCTATTTCATTATTATTTTTAAAGCAAATCACCAGTGTGTTGCTTGTAAGTTTCAGTAGTTAATCTGAAGGCTTCTTTAAAACTTATTTTGGATACCTAGTTGAGTCTAGATGGTAAAGGTAAACTGATTTCATTTTAGTAATTTTATGGGCATTTCATTATTTTTAATTTTCTTGACAACCTTGATAAATGTTGGGGATCACACTTGACATCAGAGGTTTCTTTACTACTGAGGTGTGTCTTGCTGCCTGTCTTCTCTGGCAAACATTCCTTATAGAAATGTTCTTCTATCATCTTTACTTGGTTATTATTTAATTTTGAGCTTTTTTCATTTGCTTATAGATAAATAATCAAATTAGCTTTTAATGTCATGGTTAGAATCTGTTGTAAATAGATAAGAGATTTTCAGAAGTTGTAATTAGGGTTTCATTTGGTTTTAGTACTAAGAGCTGTAATATAACATTTTTTTAAACGTGGGGTTTTGAAGATGGCTTCAGAAACTGAATGGGAGAGATCTACTTAAGAATAGGTAATAACCAGTAAAGAAGACGTGGGTATGTAAGCAAAGCTTCATTTGTAGGCATTCTACTTTTACTGTACTGCACCTAATAAATGATAAGTATGCCTCCATGGCTTTTCTTTAGTTCATTTTCCAAGCAAGGACTCTCGTTATTAATAATTTAAGCAAGTGGAATTATAAATTGAAGTCCTAAATTCTTAAATTTAATAATATGCTTAATATGTTATAAATGTTTAACATTATCTTCTTGGTGTTTTAACATATTTCTGCTAGCTTTCATATATGGAACACTATTACAATTAAGGGGAAAATTGCCTTAATGATTATTTTGAGGGTTTTTTTTTTATTTTTTATTTCTAGGTGCAGTTTTCTTGGTTATTTTTTGCAGGCGCCATCCCTGTATTTTGTTCATTTTTTATTGCAACTCTCCTGTGCCATTATAATAATTGGGATCCTGTGATGGTAGGCATTAGACGAATTTTTGCCTTTATATGCAGAAAACATCGAATTCAGAGGTAGGTTTAGTTCTAATATTGATTTTTTAAAAATAGTGTTTGCCTAGCTTTTAGGGATTTTTGTGAGGATTTGTTGAATAAATTACAATTTATCTATGTATTATGCCAGAAAAAAATAAAATAACGTGTTTGGATCCTTTGAGTAATAAGATAGTTTCTTCATTGTCATTTTTTAGACAAAAAAATGTTTTGACTCACAGGTAAAACCAAGTGCTTACTGCTTTTCTACAATTAAGTGCAGAAAACTTTTATTGGTTTGAACATAATTCATAATAAATTATAATAGCATTGCCTCAAGTTTTCTTTTTTACATTTCTGTCTTTTTGAGGGAGAAAGCTTTTTACATTTTACTATAAAGAGAACATGGGACAAATTTTTGGGAAATCTTTCTCTAGTCTTGGTTCTACTAATTGTTTCCTGACCTTACAGCTTCAGTTAGTGGAATAGATAATTTTTAGGTTCCCCTTCAGCTTTCTTAACTGTTGCCTTTTTTTCGTTTTTCCCCTTAAGAGTTCCAGAAGATAGTGAACAGTGTGAGAGTCTCATTCCCATGCATGGTGTTTCTCAGGAGGATGGAGCTAGTTAGCTGTTGTCTGTAGTCCAGGTTTGTATGTGAGCCGGCATCCATGTTGCACAACGGTCTTATTCTCATCAAATTCAAACGCAGAATTGATTTTCCATAATTAGCTGTTCAAGAGACAATAGAGCTTAAAGGCAGTATAGCATCTGGAGTTATATTGCCTGGGTTATGGTTATAACCCAGCTTCCTCTACATCCATGCGAGGTTCTTAATCTCTTCATGCCACAGTTTTCTTATTTGTGAAATGGTGTTATAATAGAACTGAACTCATAAGGTTGTTAGAAGTATTAAACACTTTAAAAATATATACAGTAGTGCCCGACTCAGCTGATCAGTAAGTTTTGATTCTTATTTTTATTCATGTTAAAGGTCATCATTTTATTTAATGATGTACTTTAGATAAATATTTTTCCCATGATTATAAAAATAGGAAAAATGTGATGTTTTAGTGTATTCAGTCTTTTCTGTGTGCATGAGGTGTTTTATGTAACTGGCACAGTGTGAACACTTTTTCTCTGACAGTGATTTTTCTCTTCATGTTCAGAAACATTTACTTATTTTTTAAAATAATACACATATACATGGAAATGTCACAAGGAAACTTCCTCTGTAGGTATCTTAAACAAACAAGAATGTCATTTTTTTTCTTTCTTTTTCAAAATTGGAGAACAGGAGGGTGGAACAGGTCCTGCCTAGGGATGGAGTGGGGTTGGTATCAATGGGAGTGGGGAGGGGGTGGGGAAAGGGTGTGTGGGAGTGAATATAGTGCAAATACTGTGTACACATGTATGTAAATGGAAAAATGATACCTATTGAAACTGTTTCAGGAATTGCGGGTGGGGGGAAGAGGAGGGGATAAAGGAGAATGGTGGAGGGGGTGAATTCGAATATGATATATTTGATATATTGTAAGAACTTTTGTAAATGCTACAGTGTACCCCCACCTATCACAACAATAAAAGTAAATAAAAAATAAAAATCACTTCTCAAAAAGAAAAAAAAATACATTTAGAGAAATATTTTATATTTCTTAGAGAACAAAAGACTGTATGACATTTAATGACTTGCTAATGAGTGCTTGAAATAACTCCAACATATATCTTTAGCAGGTACAAAAGTGATTGTTATTTAGAGCAAGATCACAGTAAATTACTAGAATTCTGGAAATTCAGGTCCTTTTCTTCTGAGATGTCTTTAGGCAATTTCTTTTGAGGTGTTCCTACTTGCACCTGGGCTTTGCCTCCCCACCCAGAACATCCTGAAATTCCTGCACTTCTAATACCCACTTTGGCCTTGAAGCCTAATTTTCGTTGCCTTCCTGATATAGTCACCGCTAATTTAAGGCTATTTACCTTGGTTTTATGTTTTCCTTTGGTGGGGTGTTTTATAATCTAGTTTTTATTATGATGGGTATCCATGGACATAGTTTGAGCTTTAGTTCTACAAGACTTCTTATACTAAGCAGCTATCCTTATCCCATCTGCCCTCCCCTGACTATCCTATTTCATTCTTTTCCCACCTGCGGAAATAATTTTAAATTCTTAGCTGATTCTTTTGGTATTTAGCCCCACCCCCCTTCTCCATCATACTCACACTTCTATTTCTTGATTTTTCCAGTTTAGGCATCTTAGCTGACTTTTTCATTAAGGTAGATGACTATCTCTGCTCCCATTCCTCATGTCTGCCTCCCAATCCCATGTTACTCCTACATCTCCCTGTGTAGACTGCATAATTTTGTATAGATCTATATATAATGTTTGTATTTTATGACTAGATAAATGTTAATTATAACCCACCCATGTAGGATTCTTCCTGATATTTCCTCAGTCCACAGACTCTGTTACTATCCCTTGTACAGAATTAACCTCAATTCGTCTCCAGGATGAAAGGGAGGACATCAGAGTGCTTAATTGGCATTTCTATGTATTTTGCACCAATCTTCCTGTTTTTACTTGCTTCTTCACCCCTCTCATAGAGATACCAGTTGTATTTCTCCTTTGCTAGCTAGGGGTTGGCTGCTATTTTGTTGTCTCTCTGTTCTCTTTATCTATGTGGTTTATTCCTTTTAAGAAAAAAAAATCCCTTTACTGTCTTTTTAGTGTAGTGAGACTTTGGGGAATAAGTGGGGTGAATAATGTACTTATTTGCCCTCTTTAAAGTAAAAATAACAACTATCACAAGCACAGTTATTCTTTAAATCTTTGTGATGCCATAATTTATGAATTATCTTGCCATGAACTGTTGTGCATTATTTCCACAGTCATACTCAGCCCCCACCCCTGCAGTGTGCCAGTGTTTTCAAAAGTGAGAGCTAGAAAAAGGGAAGATGGTGAAGACTAACCAAGATGGAGTACAGAGAGTAGTATAGAGTAGAATAGGTAGGGCAGGAGGCTTTACCTGTACAGGGGCAATGTTGGGATGTAATATACCAGAACCAAGCTGCTGATATACAGTCTTTAAGTAGCCATTGACATTGCTATGAAATTCCCTGTCCTGAGTTCTTAGCCTCATGGAGTTCAAGAATCCAGTTAGTTATTGGGTATATGCACTATGAATGATATATATTTCTATGCTAAAATAATTTGCTTTTTAAACTATAGATTAAAATCACCAAAATCATAACAATTTTCAGCATGAAAATTATAATTAATCATTCTCTGTATTTTTTCTTTTTCTTTTTCTTTTTTTTTTAGCTTGATGATGGAACATTCTACAGTGAAGAGACAACCTGGCAAGTTTTTGTAGAAAAATGTTTCAGTGCCTAGTCTGAAAAATAGTTTCAGTTCTTTGAAACTCTAAAATATATTTTCCTCATGTCTGTTTTCTTCATTTTCAAAATGAAGTACTTTCTATGTAGCTGTGTACATATCACTGCAGTTATAGGAAGTTCCAGTTCATAGTCAATCTAAAAGACCAATCTGCCTTACATATCTCAAGGAATTCATTTGATGAAATCATTTGAACTAATCAAGGAATAAAATCCAAATGTTCTGGAGACTATTTTCACATACTTGTTAAATGCTGTACTAAATTATGTTTCCAGGAAATTATAAAAGTATGTAGATCAGTATTTCTGGCAGTTAAAATGCTAAAAATAAGCTTCCTGTAATAGGTACGGATTTTTGAGTTTTGTAGAATGTTGCAAAATAACTCAGAAAAATATCTCAGAAACAAATGTTTAATTTATGTAACAAGTGTATTTGTGGAGATTTGGTGGAACTTTAAAGTGAATAAATATTTGAAAAAAGATTCTGGTACACTTACACTACATATACTGTATTATCCTTTCATAGCATTAGGTGCCTTGTACTTAAAAAATGTGATAAACCATGACAAATTTTTAAAGGGGAAGTACTGTAAAATGAAAAAGTACATATTTCAAAAGGCTGTATTGCTGTAAATTTAATTGTTAAAGCTCTGTTAGAGTTTTAAAGAAATATTCTCTCTTCAATTAAAAAATTTTCATAATGGAATGATTTAAATTGAAGTGACAAAAGAATACTATTAAACTTAAATGTTTATATGTGTATTTGTGTATTAAACATGTATCAGATAGTTTTGTATTTTTTCATATATAAATGTGCCAAATTATTCTAGAACTGAATGCTTTTTCTTTAACTAATTTTAGCTTTCCCAAGTAAATTTTTAATGGTTAAATTTTTTTAAAAAGGCAAGGAAGGATTCCATGAAAAAAATTACATTTGTATTTTTCTTTTACCACAATTAAGTATAAAATATTCCTAATTACAACTCCAAAATTTAGGTTTTCCCTGTATTTATGTTACATCTTCCCTTGGACCTGTTTGCTCTCAGTGAACATACATCCCACTGTTTACTGGCTTTTAACTAATCAGAATCTATTCCCTTTTCAAGTTTTGTGAAATTAATGCTCTTCCATATTTCTTAGTTTTTAGTGGAACTGGGGTTTGAACTCAGAGCTTCATGCTTGCAAAGCAGGTGCTCTACCGCTTGAGCCACACCTTCAGCCCATTTTTCTCTGGTTACTTTAGTCTCATAAACTATTTGCCCAGGCTGGCCTTGAACTGTGATCCTTCTGATCTCAACCTCTAAGTAGCATGGATTGCAGATGTGAGCCACTGGCACCTGGTTCTTCCAGATTTCTTAATCTGATTTTAAAAAATTCCTTTTGCAGGGTTCTGCTTCAGTTTATTCTGTTCACATTCTGAAGTTGCTTTAGTGTTAAAATGAAATTTAGGCTGTTTTTTTGCTTAGTCCTGAGAACTTTTATATTATTTAGAAGATTTCATATGGTATTAAATTAAAAAAAAAAAAAACAGCTGTCTTCTCATTTGGTTCCACCAACAATTCTCAAGTTAAAAACAATGCTGATTTTATTACAATTTTGGCCTGATTAGCTTGATAAAGGATTTGCTCTAAGGAGATTTCTTTCTTTCTTTTGTGGCACTGGGTTTTGACTCTGCCTTACACTTTCTAGGCAGGTGCTCTTTTTTGGGGGATGGGTTTTTTTTTTTTCTTTTGAGATAGGGTCTCAAGAACTATTTGCCTGGAACTGGCTTTGAACCATGATCCTCCTGATCTCTGCCTCCTAAGTAGCTAGGATTACAGGCATGAGCCACCAACGCCCAGCAGAAATTTCTTTTAGGAATAACTTACTGTGGTAACATTTCACTTACTCAAAGACTAATTTTGACATTTGTTATCTAGGTATCCTAAGTTTTTTTGGTTTTGCCATTTGACAGTTCACAAATATCTTTAGCAATTTACAAGGTAAATAGTTGAAGCAGTGAGGGTGAAACTCAGAAAGTTGGGCACTGTGGTACATACCCAGCTACTGGGGAGACTAAAACAGGAGGATTACTGAGCCCAGGAGTTTGGGGACAGTCTGGACAACACAGAGAGACCCTATTTCTTAAACAAACAATAAACCTCAAAATGCTGGGTTAGTTCCATTTTGCAGATTACCCAAAACTAAAACTAGGTAAGAAGACCTGGTATCCCAGCAACTGCATTGCAGACCTTTGGAATTTGGTGGTGGAGGGGGGGGAATCTCACCCTCCCAGTACTTGCTACTTGCTGATGTCATTCCTCTTTATCAACAATATTGGCCTGTAGCTATATCTTTTTGTGAATCTAAAGACACACACAGGGATTTGTAATGCCTTGTTTTCAGTCTTCTACTTTTCTTCCAATACATAATTTGAATCCCATTATTGCATGGTGTTTCAAATTATGACCTTGATTGAGGGAAGTCTTTTCTGTCACAAAGATTTTTCTGTTAGATGAACATTAGAATCTCAAGGGCAACAAAACTGAAAAAAATGAGGCAGCCTTATACTGTGTAGATGAATGCTTTTTGGAGGTTAAAAAGCTTTTAGATGTGTGTAATACACCTATAGTTATGCCTTTAAATAAATTTTGATTTTTTTAACTGAAATACTGGCTTCTGTCAGCCTGACTTAAGTAATTCCCTACATTAAACTGATTTTGCCTAGCAGCTCAGGAATAAAGTTCATTGTTTCTGTCAAAGTGAGCTCACATGGTTAAATGTGAATGTTCTCAAAGGTATGCAGTCCTGTTCTAGGAAGAATGCTAATGTCCACTTGAAAATTAATGATGCAGAGCCAATTTGGGTTGCAAGGTCTGAGTCCTGTGCTAGCCCAGTTTTTCATTAGGCCTGGAGCACTAATCCTCAAGTGTGCTGGTCTTTACAGAATTAAAATATCTGAAGAAAAAAGGAAGAATTTATTTAAAAATATTTTCCACAATTATATTAGCAAATGTTACTTTCATTTTAAGCAACACTGGTTATAATCCTGCTTCTTTTCTCCCCACTCTCCTTTTCAAATATTCTTAATTACTAAGTGATATTTCAGAAAGAATTTGTAGAAATAAGAAATGAATATTATCTGATACTTGCAGACTTATGTACTAAAATATTGCATGCTGATTTTTTATTGCATTGTGAGATGTTCAGTTTACAGAACTTGAAGTTAGAGTTCTATTTTAATAATCTTTAGATGTTCTTAAAATTCCATTTAGATAAATTGAAGTACTTGTTTTATATACTTGAAATTTTTAGATACCATATGTCCTTTTTTATAGCACCAGCCTTATTTATATAAAAATTAGTAATACCATGTTTCATAGGTATACTGTATGTACACAGGAGATTTTCCTTTAAATCTCAAGATTATTTAATAAATGAGACAGGAATTCATTATGATAAATTAGAAACAAATAAAGACCTTGGAAATTTGCTGTTATTTTAATCTGAAGATTTTGTTTTTGTTTTGTTTTGCCATCAGGGATGAGGATTACCTAATGATTGAAGTGTTTATTTTACCTTTAACTTTTATTTAATTACCTTATTTTCATTCTGATTTTTTTGATTACCTAACAATTTCTGCTTTATGTATCTTAAAAGCTAAGCATCATTTTAATGTCACTACATTTAGAAAATATTTAAAAATTTAATATTAGAATGTCAAACAATGAAGTCATTGACATAAATTTAAAGAAAATTGTCTTATGAAAAGTAATTAGTTCTTTGGTTAGGTGTATTTGCCAAAATGTTAATGTGAAGTAGCATTATCTCCAATGACAGCATTTTGCATTTACGGTGCAAAAATATGATTTTTTTTAAGTTAAAGATTTGGGTCAGAAGAGAACTCAGAGGTGAAGATATTTCCTTCATGACATTTTAAGTTTGGAGAGTAAAATGTTCAATCTGGAACTTTTAACAAGTCACTTCATGAAATTTTTAGTTTTTAATTTCATTTTATGGGTTATTTCTTTCAAGATACCTACTTTTATTAATTTTCACTTAGATCCTTTATGCTAGGCAGTTTGTATTTCTCTACATGGTTTTCCTATACCTACTTTTAATTATGGTAAGTAACAATAAAGTCAGTCATGTGAGAGAATCCATTAATTTCAGTGGTCCTTGCAAGGCAGGCAGAAAGTTTCTGTTCCCAAGAGTCTTATTTTTTAGATTTGTACTGTATTTGCTTACTTGGAGTAGCTTTTACATTCATTTTTCATGTGGAAAAATTTAATATCAGTAAAACCATGTAATGTCCAAACTAAAATTTTATTGAAGGCTATCATGGTCTTAATTAGTAAAGTATAATGCACTATTTTTTTAATGTTTGTAGTACCCATGGCTTTGTATAAAAGTATTTGTATGAAATTATATACAAATACTCTTCAACTTATGATGGGGTTATGTCCCAATACACCTATCATAAATTGAAAAATTGTAAGTTGAAATGCATTTAATGCACTGAACCTAACAAACATCATAGCAACACAGCACTCTGTAGAATGTGGGTTGTTTACCCTCAGGGTCACATGGCTGATGAAGCAGTGGCTCACTGCTGCTGTCCTGCATCAAGAGAGAGCATAATGATGTATATTGCAAGCTAGGACAAGATCGAAATACAAAATTGAAAATATTGGATGTTTGTTACTTCCACACCATCGTAGAGTTGAAAAATTATTCAGTTGAACCACTATAAGTTGGGGACCATCTGTGTATTTAAATATGCATGCTCCAAGTAGAGCTTCAAGTTCCTGTATCAGCACATCACTTGGTAGGCTTACTAAATGCAGATTGCTGGACTCTACCATAGTTTCTGATTCAGTGTGTCTGCGGGAAAAGGGGGGTGGAAATTTGCAATTCTAACAAGTATTATTAAGGTAATGCTGCTGCTGGTCCCAGGATCACACTGAATTACTCTTGAGGAAGAGCATTCCTTTTGAAGTTGGAATCTGTGCTCCCCAATAGCAAATTTATTTGGGGAAATTACTGTAACTGGCTTGTCTACATTTCTTAGTGGTGAAATCCAGACTAATGCTACTTGTTTGAGACTAGGAAAAATGAAATAAGCCCATTGAATTGTCCAGACCAGCACACGTGGGTGCTTGAAAATGCCGATTCCCTTGATCAGCCTTCCCCTCACTATTCTTACCTGTAAAGCAGCCAGCAAACTCAGTTATCTTAAAAGGTTCCTCTGAGTTGTAAAAATGAGTTCAGTATCTAGGCTTCTAAAAGTTTTCAGTTAGATTTATTAAACAGCATTTAAGAAGTTATGTTTGAATGTAGTTTGAATCCATGGTCATTTGTATGCTGTGTATGTCAGACAGATACGCTCTTTTCTAAGCTACTGATCTGTGAGACTGCTGTAGTGCCTCCTAGTGACCTATGACATGTTCACAATACATAGTTTTCTTCTGCCTGCTTGGATTTCAGACAGCATCAAGTCAGCTGTGAAACAAATCCAAGCTAATGATTTAATACAGCATGTAAATATCTGTTGTTGTATTTAAAATTTGTCACTAAGGTATTCACTATTTTGAATGTGTAATCTTAAAAATTGGGTATGTTAAAAAGTACCAGCCTAATGCAACTAAATTTTCTCATCTTTTAATTTTGTTTTGTTAGAAAAAGAAAAGACTCAGTTATGGATCTTTCATCTTTCCCCAGACCTGCCCTACTGTAAATACAGGAAAGACCACATACAATGAAACATATATGTAACTAGT